CCGTGAAAATTTCTTTCCACGAAAGTTTCTTCCTTGAAAGTAGTAAGCAACAGTTAAAGGCCTTCCCCTGCTGCCCTTTAAGTTTTTCTTTTCTCTGAAACACTCTGCAAGGTGCATGTTTAAAAGTTATAATGAAGTTTTTCTGTTTGCTAATTGTTGAATGAACAGCGTGTTTAGAATAATAAAGTTTGGTACAGAATAAGGAATCTGTATCGTTTTAATTTCTCTCAATGATGTTTTAGTTAGGGGGGTCTGGAACACAGGTTAGTTTTAGTGTGAATAGTGTGAAGTTTGTAGGTCACTAGATTTCAAATTGTAGCCAAGATACTAACCTAGACAAATGAAAAGATAACACATCAAAGAAAAGAACATGCAGGTTGAATTTTTGATTATTTTCTTGGCTCAATTTCAGAATACTATATATATATATATATTTATTAGGTTCGCTTGAAAATATTGCAAAAATTTTCAGACTAGGATTGTTATTTTGAACTGTTATTAGAGTTTCTTAGAGTTACTAATAGAACCATTGTTTTGCTGTTATTGTGGGGAGTTTGACTGCATACATAGAATCCTTGATTTACATAGAGAACCAGAACCGTCAATAATTGTTTGGACTGAGAATATTTTAGCCTTTTCTCGCATTAGTTGGTGTGGCTCAAAAAAGTTTATCTGCCACACCCTGAACCGGGACCTTTTGGTTTGCTGGCCACCCTGCAATTATGACACTGAGCAAAACTGAAATATAGCAGTTCGAGAAAAAATGTTCCCGAGTTTTATCAATGATAATTATAATCGTTTGAGAACCACGCCCGTATCTATTGCGACGCCCATTTTGTCGGCAAACCACTGGCTAGCCCTCTTAGGCGAGATCTCGCTACTAACCTCCCGATATCTGGTCCAGGCGAGCTAGAAATTTTCCATGAAAATGCAAACAAGCGGGCTAACCCTCCTGGGAGGGCAAGAAATTTTTTTTGCGCACGCGTCAAACACAAACCGCTTGCGTTGTCAAAGTAAAAGTGGCTGCCAGTATCGAAAAAACCAATATTTCAAAATCAAAGCAATTTCACTGGCCTTCTGACATAGTCAGGGAAATTGTTGTGACAGCAAGTTTTTGCCCGCAACTCGCGCGCGATAGCGCGCGAGTGAAGGGCTTATAGTCTGCCCCGCGTATAAGTAGCATATGGAAGCTTCAGTTCATGTTGTCAGCACTTTGTCAGCAGATTTTGTCACTTTTCTGCTGCCATGACAACTGTCAATCAATTTCATTGTCAATCAATCGGCTTTGTCGAGGAGGTCGTTAACCGCCACCTCTTTCTGCGGAAGGCAATTATCTTCGGAGCGTTGCTTTGCCAAGACTCTGCTAAAGGCCTTCGGTTTTTTTGGCACGAAAACGGTGCTGCATCACAGCTCGGTTCTCCGCAATGGATGGAAGTTTTGATTCGAAGTTTTGGGAATCAAAACCAGTCGAATGCCACACCATTCTCCCAAAAACTCGAGACCATACGAGCAAAAGTTATGATTGTCATGATTATAGCCTGTACATCGCTGTACGAATCCTTTATCGCAATCGATTTTAGCTGTACCCGTTCTATCACGTGTCCATTTTCATACGTCTTTGTTTACTTCACGAAAACGAAAAATAAATGTCAAACCCTCGAAAAACTTCATGATTTTCAAAAGGGCGTTGGACTTAAATCAAAGGCAAACTGAACACCAAAAATTCTTGATAAAAAGAATAGTTTAGCATCAACTAGGGCAGCTGTTTTTATAAAATTGTGAAAACCCAAGATGGTGTCTTCTTCGAATATTCTGACCTAAATTTTCAAAACAATCATTATCAAGGAACTAATTGTTTGCGGGCAGTACTAGCAAGAGCTTTTTCTAGTTATAAATGTGTTATTATGTTGCTGAGATATGGCCACATGAACACAGGCTCTTTCTCCATCAAACCTCTGTTATTTGGTCTCTATTTTGTTAGCAATTTCTAACCTTTCATAGGGCAAATCCCAGCCGATTTTTGACATTTTCGGCTGATCTTCCATAACTTGAAGTATTTCATTGTGTTCTGTGGTCATGCTATGTGGTTAAAAATCAGATATTCTAAAAATAGCTTTTTTGTGACGTCACACTTCAGAACTCATTTGCAGCTGTTTTTGACGTTCTAGAAAAGAGACATTTGTAAATCACTGTCAAATGACGATAATTTTCTAGAGACAAAGGAAGATATTTTTACTCCATTGTTTTGAATTGATTCCAATGATGCCATCCTTTATTGTTTCGTATACTTTGTTTCAGTCGAGCTTCACCCATACCTGCCACAGCCAAAACTGATTGATTGTTGCAAAGAATACGGTATGTGAGATTTATCATATTTCATATGATAAAAATAAATTTTAAAGTTTCTCTTTAAAAGCTTTTTTAAATTCCGTATATGATTAACTCCTTTTGTCATCATTGCCCCTGGCACTTAGCTGAAAAATCTTCAGAAAGGTTGTAACAAAGTTCCTTACAATAGCAACAACAATATAATCACATTCATAATGACAGCATCACGGGCTCCATCCACCTTTTTGCCCCAGGCCCCGCAGTAGCTCACAGTGGGTCCGAGTAGCACTGCATGAATCCAGATGCGTTTGCTGCGCTTTTGATGTTTTCTTTTGTGCAACATGCGTCCGCAGCTAAGCAAGTGGTCTAATTGGCTAAAAATCTCTATTATCACTTGCATCTGATGTTTGGCCCTTTTTTGTCCCTTATTAGGGATCGTCTGCGCTGCGTACTCGCCTATCGGAGCTCCAAACAGGCCAGAATTTTTCAAAGAAAATTCGCACCCGATTCTCCTTGAAGACGACGTTGTGACGTCAATTGCTGAGAAGCACAAAGCAACTCCTGCTCAGGTGAGGAAATATTTGTACCAACCTTCGACAATACAAAAAAGGCATTTGCCCCTTTCTATCTCTTAGCCATTCCAGTCCCAATTAGTTTAGCGCTTAACTCAGTGTTATCTCTACCAATCATCTACTTTACTGTTTCTACCACTTTAATATATACAGAAGCCAAAAATCGTTTATCCTTTCTTTCTTCCTTAAGCTCTGGTGATTGAGTTTTTAATGTGGCATTTCAGTTTCTTTGTTCATGTCACCGTCCATTAAGTTTACAAAAGTTTACCTCACTTTTTTTGTTCGTCTCCCCAGCAAAAAGGGTCTTCAAAACATTTGATATATGGCCTTTGAAAGCAAATTGTCGGCAATGATTATTTCTGGACGAGGATCTTTTCCTTGGGAAATCCAAACTTTTGAGTCGTAGCTTCGGAATTTCATTGATATTGTACAGGAGTTAGAGACATCATCATTGATATAATCATTGCCTACGAAATGTTTTATGATCATGTTAATACGATGTGTATTGCATTCCAAATGTGCATTTTCATTATTGATGTTGCTCTGAAATTTTTGTAAGAATCATTAATGGCTTTTTCCAGTCGCCTACTGTCCACATGAGCGCATAATGTCCCATAGGCAGAGCATTGCTCAATTTGGTGTGCAAAGCACGTCTGGTCCTAGTAGTCACTTAAGAAAGTTCCTATTGAAAATGATACAATTTGTGCCATCAATGAAATGTAGTACTTCTTTCTTTAGGTTGCACTTGCTTGGGGAATCCAGCGTGGAACGCCAGTTCTTCCCAAATCTGTCACACCATCACGAATCGTAGAAAACCTGCAGGCAGGAGAGCTACACCTAGATGCTGATGATATGTCGAGAATCAGTGACGTAAAGCCAAGAGCAAGACTTGTGGACCAGCGTTGGGGAGTTCCAATGAATTGCACTATTGAAGATATCTGGGATGGGGAATATCTTTGCTGATGAAAAGGAACGAAACATATGATAACATAGAATGATGACAATAAATAATCATGAAAATAAATATTATTGAAATGCATATCCAAAGAGTAACAAAGATTTTTATGTTATTGTGTTTTTAAACATGAATTTCAATGAGAAATTATAAAGACTACAAATATTCGTTTGTTTAACTATTCTCTGAAGAGAAATTTCCAGTGCCTTAAAGAGGGATTTTCAATGTTAAAAAATAACACGTTGTAACCTAATATTGATAAGATTTTTGTATGATTCATTTTACAGACAAGTAACGTTCGATACCTTGACAATCACCCATTAGTGTACCGATGCATAATGATTGTACTTTTACTTGGTTTTTATTAATCGCTTTAAGACAACAACACCTATTTAATATAAGCTAAAATTCAATTATAAAAATTATAATTATTTTGTGAACAAAAATTTGCACAACGGTTATTGATCACTTTCAAAAGCTGAAAACTTCTTTTTCCCGAAAAATTGACCATCAAAATTGTTTGTTTTCCTCTAATTTTTCAAAGTTCAAAGGACTGAGTAAAAAGTGTAAAGGACTTTATATATTTAAAGAAATTTATAAGCTATGATAGAGTAGATCTGAACTCCACTTTTTCCTTTCTTTTCCAAGTCTATGTAATTCGAATTTTCTCCTAAAATCTGACGATAAAGTGGGGGTGATTTTTCGTGATATTAAGGCATTCGGAAACAGATTAAATAGGTTTACAGGTCAATTCATCCATGATGCATCTAACAAGAATCCCTCGTTTCCTACAGCTACATTCTTCTGTTTTTCTAAGGATAAAAGTGCTTTGAAAAAATCAAAGATTTCATTGCCTTCAGGGCTTAAATAGGTAAATAGAAAAAGAAGAAGACAAATCTACTCTAAATCCAACAAATTAGCATGGTTTGAAAGTAAAATTGCACCCAAACCAAATCGCTCTTATTCAAGGCTAAAGGGACTTGCTTCTCACTGAAATCTCAAATTCAAAAAGGATTATTTCTGTTTTAAGGCTTTAAATCAATTAATAGATAATATTTTAGGCTTTAAGCTAGAGTCTCTTTTAAATTTTATTGTTCAAAAATCAACATAATTTTCTTCTCGATAACGAACACAACTAGAATTGTATTTAGTTCGGTGAAAAAGTCTTTTTTGAAGAATGTGGCGTCTTTAAAGAGGGGATGATTTTTGATAAAATAAAGTAAGGTTATAGGCTTAAAAAGATCAGCAACTTTTTTGGGAATTTTTTCTTCTAGAATCAAGTCAATTATCTTCTCCATAATCAGAAGGAGGTAGAATTGTTTTTAGATCGGGGAAAAAGTCTTTTTTTGCAGAATGTGGCGTTTTTAAAGAGGGGGATGATTTTTGATATGAAAGTAAGGCTATAGGCTTAGAAAAATCATCGATTTTTTTGGAATTTTTTTTGTTCTAGAAACAAGTCAATCATCTTCTCTATAATCAGAAAGAGGTAGAATTGTATTTAGTTTGGGGAAAAAGTCTTTTTTTGAAGAATGTGGCGTCTTTAAAGAGGGGATGATTTTTGGTAGAAAAGTAAAGCTATAGACTCAGAAAAATCATCAATTTTTTTGGAAATTTTTTGTTCTGAAATCAAGTCATTTATCTACTCTATAATCAGAAAGAGGTAGAATTGTATTTAGTTCTGGGAAAAAGTCTTTTTCTGACGAATATGGCGTGTTTAAAGAGGGGGATGGTTTTTGATAAAAAAGTAAGGCTATAGGCTTAGAAAAATCATCGATTTTTTTGGAAATTTTTTTGTTCTAGAAACAAGTCAATCATCTTCTCTATAATCAGAAAGAGGTAGAATTGTATTTAGTTTGGGGAAAAAGTCTTTTTTTGAAGAATGTGGCGTCTTTAAAGAGGGGATGATTTTTGGTAGAAAAGTAAAGCTATAGACTCAGAAAAATCATCAATTTTTTTGGAAATTTTTTGTTCTGAAATCAAGTCATTTATCTACTCTATAATCAGAAAGAGGTAGAATTGTATTTAGTTCTGGGAAAAAGTCTTTTTCTGACGAATATGGCGTGTTTAAAGAGGGGGATGGTTTTTGATAAAAAAGTAAGGCTATAGGCTTAGAAAAATCATCGATTTTTTTGGAAATTTTTTTGTTCTAGAAACAAGTGAATCATCTTCTCTATAATCAGAAAGAGGTAGAGTTGTAATTAGTTTGGGGAAAAAGTCTTTTTTTGAAGAATATGGCGTCTTTAAAGAGGGAATGATTTTTGGTAGAAAAGTAAAGCTATAGACTCAGAAAAATCATCAATTTTTTTGGAAATTTTTTTGTTCTAGAATCAAGCCAATTATCTTCTCTATAATCAGAAAGAGGTAGAATTGTAATTAGTTTGGTGAAAAAGTATTTTTTTGAAGAATCTGGCATCTTTAAAGAGGGGATGATTTTTGATAAAAAAGTAAAGTTATAGGCTTAGAAAAATCATCGATTTTTTTGGAAATTTTTTTGTTCTAGAAACTAGTCAATTATCTTCTCTATAATCAGAAAGAGGTAGAATTGTATTTAGTTCGGTGAAAAAGTATTTGTTTTTGAAGAATATGGCGTCTTTGAAGAGTGGATGATTTTTTATAAAAAAGTAAGGCTAAAGACTTAGAAAAATCATCGATTTTTTTGGAATTTTTTTTGTTTTAGAAACAATTCAATCATCTTCTCTATAATCAGAAAGAGGTACAGTTGTATTTAGTTTGGTGAAAAAGTCTTTTTTTGAAGAATGTGGCGTCTTTAAAGAGGGAATGATTTTTGATAAAAAATTAAGGCTATAGGCTTAGAAAAATCAACGATTTTTTTGGAATTTTTTTTTGTTCTAGAAACGAGTCAATCATCTTCTCTATAATCAGAAAGAGGTAGAGTTGTATTTAGTTTGGTGAAAAAGTCTTTTTTTGAAGAATGTGGCGTCTTTAAAGAGGGAATGATTTTTGATAAAAAATTAAGGCTATAGGCTTAGAAAAATCAACGATTTCTTTGGAATTTTTTTTGTTCTAGAAACAAGTCAATCATCTTCTCTATAATCAGAAAGAGGTAGAATTGTAATTAGTTCGGTGAAAAAGTATTTTTTTGAAGAATCTGGCATCTTTAAAGAGGGGATGATTTTTGATAAAAAAGTAAAGCTATAGGCTTAGAAAAATCATCAATTTTTTTGGAAATTTTTTTGTTCTAGACACTAGTCAATCATCTTCTCTATAATCAGAAAGAGGTAGAGTTGTATTTAGTTCGGAGAAAAAGTCTTTTTTGAAGAATGTGGCGTCTTTAAAGAGGGGATGATTTTTGATAAAAAAGTAAGGCTATAGGCTTAGAAAATTCAACGATTTTTTTGGAATTTTTTTGTTCTAGAAACAAGTCAATCATCTTCTCTATAATCAGAAAGAGGTAGAGTTGTATTTAGTTTGGTGAAAAAGTCTTTTTTTGAAGAATGTGGCGTCTTTAAAGAGGGAATGATTTTTGATAAAAAATTAAGGCTATAGGCTTAGAAAAATCATCAATTTTTTTGGAAATTATTTTATTCTAGAAACAAGTCAATCATCTTCTCTATAATCAGAAAGAGGTAGAGTTGTATTTAGTTTGGGGAAAAAGTCTTTTTTTGAAGAATGTGGCGTCTTTAAAGAGGGGATGATTTTTGATAAAAAAGTAAGGCTATAGGCTTAGAAAATTCAACGATTTTTTTGGAATTTTTTTGTTCTAGAAAAAAGTCAATCATCTTCTCTATAATCAGAAAGAGGTAGAGTTGTATTTAGTTTGGTGAAAAAGTCTTTTTTTGAAGAATGTGGCGTCTTTAAAGAGGGAATGATTTTTGATAAAAAATTAAGGCTATAGGCTTAGAAAAATCATCGATTTTTTTGGAAATTTTTTTTTTCTAGAAACAAGTCAATCATCTTCTCTATAATCAGAAAGAGGTAGAATTGTAATTAGTTCGGTAAAAATCTTTGTTTTTGAAGAATATGGCGTCTTTGAAGAGGGGATGATTTTTGATAAAAAAGTAAGGCTATAGGCTTAGAAAAATCATCGATTTTCTTGGAATTTTTTTTGTTCTAGAAACAAGTTAATCATCTTCTCTATAATCAGAAAGAGGTAGAATTGCATTAAGTTCGGAGAAAAAGTCTTTTTTTGAAGAATGTCGCGTCTTTAAAGAGGGGATGATTTTTGATAAAAAAGTAAGGCTATAGTCTTAGAAAAATCATCGATCTTTTTGGAAATTATTTTGTTCTAGAAACAAGTAAATTATCTCCTCTATAATCAGAAAGAGGTAGAATTGTATTTAGTTTGGTGAAAAAGTCTTTTTCTGAAGAATATTGCGTCTTTGAAGAGGGGATGATTTTTGATAAAAAAGTAAGGCTAAAGGCTTAGAAAAATCATCGATTTTTTTGGAATTTTTTTTATTCTAGAAACAAGACAATTATCTTCTCTATAATCAGAAAGAGGTAGAACTGTATTTAGTTCGGGGAAAAAGTCTTTTTCTGAAGATTATGGCGCGTTTAAAGAGGGGGATGATTTTTGATAAAAAAGTAAGGCTATAGGCTTAGAAAAATCAACTATTTTTTTTGGAAATTGTTTTATTCTAGAAACAAGACAATTATCTTCTCTATAATCAGAAAGAGGTAGAACTGTATTTAGTTCGGGGAAAAAGTCTTCTTCTGAAGATTATGGCGCGTTTAAAGAGGGGGATGATTTTTGATAAAAAAGTAAGGCTATAGGCTTAGAAAAATCATCGAATTTTTTGGAAATTTTTTTGTTCTAGAATCAAGCCAATTATCTTCTCTATAATCAGAAAGAGGTAGAATTGTAATTAGTTCGGTAAAAATCTTTGTTTTTGAAGAATATGGCGTCTTTGAAGAGGGGATGATTTTTTATAAAAAAGTAAGGCTAAAGACTTAGAAAAATCATCGATTTTTTTGGAATTTTTTTTGTTTTAGAAACAATTCAATCATCTTCTCTATAATCAGAAAGAGGTACAGTTGTATTTAGTTTGGTGAAAAAGTCTTTTTTTGAAGAATGTGGCGTCTTTAAAGAGGGAATGATTTTTGATAAAAAATTAAGGCTATAGGCTTAGAAAAATCATCGATTTTTTTGGAAATTTTTTTTTTCTAGAAACAAGTCAATCATCTTCTCTATAATCAGAAAGAGGTAGAATTGTAATTAG